ATGTTAGACTGATTGGTCTGTAGTTTCTTGAGTGTTTTTTTTCCCCTTTCTTGAAGATGAGAACCACATCAGCAGGAAGGGGTGGAAACTTCCAGACAGCTCGCCTTCGCTGCAGACAACTTGCAGCACCGTTTGCAGAATGGGACTTTTGGCGGGCTCAGCAGGGCAGAGACACCCTGGACAATTCCTATTGGCTTTTGAAAGCCAATAGAATTAGACTCTATTCAAGAGAGTCTATTCTATTGGCTTTCAAAAGCCAATAGAATAAAAGGGAGTAGCACAGCTAAGGAAAAGGGGAAAAAATGGTGGACTGCGTTGTTTGGCGACCCCCGTGAAATGGTCGTTCGACCCCAAATGGGGTCGCAACCCACAGGTTGAGAACCGCTGCTTTAACTGAATGATTGAACTAAGGGATGTTGGTAACTGATGTCTTTGTTAATCATATCAAATCAACGAGTCTCAAACTTATATCTTATTTGTTTGCTCAAACTTCATATATCATTAGGACCTACATTAATAAAAGGCAAAGATATATAAAACATCAGGGAAAGATTGTAAATAGGTTTTCACGAACTATACACTTCCTCTTTGAAATTATGAAAGTGACTCTAAAGTAACTCTAAAATTATTCTACCATATTTCCCCCAAAATAAGACCCAGTCTTATATTTTGTTTGCCTCCAAAAGAGACAGTAGGTCTTATTTTGAGGGGATGTCTTATTTTTTCCCTGACTCCTGCCTTGCAGTGGTGGCACCAACATCCCCATCCAACAGGAGCCCACGTGGCTGCCTCCCACTTCCGTGGCCGCTCGCGGCTTCTCGCGGTAAGACGCCATGTGACATGGCATGCCAGTGCTGCCACAAGGTGAGGCAGTGGGGGGGAGCTGTCCCACACATCCCACACCCACTTACCATAGTACCACCTCAGCCAAGCCTCCCACGTCCCGACACCTGCTGCCAGACACCATTGGCCCCTATGACTTGTGCTGGCCATGCCTAATCCCCCCGGGCTTATTTTTGGGTAGGGCTTATACTAGGCCCACCCCAAAAAATCAGGCTAGGGCTTATTTTCAGGGTGAGTCTTATTTTCAAGAAAAAAACAGTAGTTATGAATAGAGTTATCCTTTGAATGTATTTGTAGACTGACTATATCAGTCTGTTATGAAAAGTCTCTTAAATTTTTTCTTCAATAGATCTAGAGTCCTTGAGCCTTGAGAACAAAGCTTTGCCATTAACCCACATTTTTATCTTGCACAAATACTTTAAGAAAAGGGATTTAGCAGGGAATTAAAGATTTTCTTATCCATATCTGATAAGGTCCAGCTAATTATTAGTACCCACACCACAATGTTTGCTTTTGATAATTGTAGAGAAATATTTAGCATAACTCCAGTTTGGTCCTTTGTCCTGTGAAGCTAAAATAAACTAATAAGTACATAGAGATATTCTTTTTTACAGAGATGAAGCTGTTTGTCTTAGAATCTTAACCATTAAATTTCAATAATAGTGGTGTCTGTGTCAAAGTAGTGTTTGAAAAATGTCCACAAATTCCAGTCTATATTATACGCTATGTAATGCAAGGACTTTAAAATAAAAAAAGGAACATGGAGGAAAAAATATCCTTAAGGCCTCTAAAGATATAAGCCCTGACATAGGTAAATTATAAACTGAGCTATCATTTCTTCCTTCATTTTATTGAGCAATTTGTAACAACTGAGATAAGATTTAATAGCAATAAAAATTTACTAGAAGAGGTTAAATGTAGCTTTTTTCCTTACTTAGAATCAATAGCTATTCAGATAAACAGCAATAATTAGAAAAAAATATTTATCTTTATAGGCTTTAAATGTAAAAGGTGCTTCTATTTTGTAGGAGATTATATTATAATTTACTATCTCAAAGGTATTTTTTTCTTTCTCAATCTTTCTGAATCTTTCAACATTCAGCAGCATTGTTAAACTTCAAAATAAAAGTTTAACTTCTTTGAAAGTTGTTATTGTTAAAAATATTTTTGACAATGTAAGCATCTTATACTTTTTATTTTGCAAAAGAAGAATGTATGATTGCTGTTGTACATAAAAAATGTGGTACTTCAAATTTCACAGCTTCATATTTGAAATGAATGAATCACTTCAGATGTTAGTGTATTACTTGAACTCTAATTCAGTGATAAGGAAAATGAATTTGTGTCCAGAATACATGGTTTCTATATATCCCTGGTATATTGTAGATACAGAAGTAATTTTTCATGAAGATATATGTCAATACTGCTAACTTTGGATGTTCTTGCTTGACAATATATGAAGATGCAGACATTTTCTATTTAACCTGTGTATTACTTTTAAAGTTAAAATTAGATGTTGCTGAAGGGGAGGGGGAAGAATGTGCTTGGGGACTAGTTAGCCATAACAATATCTCGGAGTATTCTTCAAGGTTGGTTGTAATAAGAGGAGATAAGTAATGGGGGAAAGTTCTGCACTTCAAACTAATTGGAGAATGTGATTAATGACCGTTAAATGAAGGAGTGAGTTATGCTTAGATACTGTGTGTTTGGGGGAGGAGAATTCAGATTTTGGCTTCTTCTATGTACGTGAGGAAGCTCTGTTGCTATTAAAGATTCTTTAAAGAAAACAATGCCTCAAAGTTCTTTGAAGAGCTTCTTCTTTCGGAACCATGACAATATATTTATCACATGACAGTCATCATATTCAGGTCCTGCCATTAATTGTCCTGGATGTGAAGATATCTCCTCTGTTAGAAAGTTTTTTATCTGTTTATTTGATTGTGTTGAAAATAAGGAAGTATTTTGTATGGTAGATTTATTTTCTGCTGTGCTCTTCAGAGATGTGTTACGTAACATTTATTTATGATAATCCTACTACCTTCCTTTCTCTTCAGCTAATGGGCTTTCCTGTCATGCCGAAAAAGAAATCTCTTATTTCTCTTATTTCTGTAGTGTTATCCTTATTGTTCTCTGCTACTCTTTGAAACATGAATTATGCATTGTATGTGTTTGTAAACACATGTCCATGAGGAAGAATGAATTAAAATGTACATTAGTACAATGAACTGGGGAAAGGGTTTGGTAAATAGTTAATGGATAATTTCACAAAGTATTTCCTTTATGTCTAACCTGGAAATTTACAGAAGTCAGCAGTCAGATTGACCTCTGAAATCAGAGGGGCTACATTATATGAGGGCCCAGTGCATTGCATTGTTGCTGTACTTTTCTGGGTAAAGTACAGGGTGCTGCTTATTATTTAAAGAAACCTTATAAAGTATAGAGCCAAGCTCCTTGAAACAATGCTTCTTTCTGTAACTATATGATTCCATGCCCTACAGCCCAGCTCACTAAAGTTATCTGGAGAGAGTTACAGTGGCCTCAGGCTTCTCTTGAGAAAACTTTTAATCATCTTAGTTTTTTGGAATGGATTCCATTGATGGGTTTAACTTCTTTGCTTCTGTGCTTTTAAAAAAGCTGTAAAACTTATATTTTAAGCCTGCCTTCACTACTTTTACTTTTTTTTAAAAAAAAAACAACCCCTTTTTAATAGCTCTGGATTTATTTTTAGATTTATAATTTTATTCTAAATCAATGAGAGAACCCATGTTGGTGACCTAAGTTTAATAAATTGAAAATTAGAGATAAATTGCCAGGCAAGGTAGAAGTCATGGTGATCTGACAGTGTGTTGCAGTATGTGACAGGGTCAAGTCTTTTGACTTTAAATAACCTCACATCAAATTTTAGAATTGATTAAGCCCTTCTAAAGCCTGATAGTGAACATTTGATGTCTAAAACTTGCTTTTCAAAAGTAATGAAGTGAGATAAAACTCTTTTATTTTGATGAAAAAATGTTCTCATCTTCTGTTATCTTTTCAGAATTTATGGTGTGCCATGAATCAGTTTCCTATTTCTTCCCTCCTTCACTTTCTCTAATTAAATTCCTTGACTTTTCAGCCACTAAAAAAACATACTATAATCATGCTGCTGACATCGGTGCATAATTTTCCTTCCAAGGTGTAGCTTAGCACAGTACAGTGATATTAAACTCTGAAAGTTCAGGATAATTAATTAGTAGCACCAATGTGAGCAATTCTGCAGATCTTGAGATTATGTAGTCCTCCCAAATATGTAATACAAAATTACAGGAAAAGATAGGAAGTTCCTGAAGCAGATATTCCATTCCCTCCCACAACCATATACTCAGTTTGTGGTCTGTTGGTGATCGCTATGGGAATTGTAGTATAACAATATTTTTCTTACGTTGATATTTCATATAAGTTTGGAAGAATGGAAATCAGAAAACGAATATAACTTACTCAGGATTGAGGTCCAAGGAAGGTAGGGTAAACAAAGCCTGACTTTTGGAATTCTTCCAAATAATTATAGGAGGCATTTGTTATTTTATTCTGCATAATGAATTAACATGTTGCATCTGGGGGGGGGGTGTCTGTGTGTTTCTCCTTTCCTTTCAGTTTGCATCTATGCATATTTGTAGGACTATAGTGGAAAGGATATGGGTTCCATATTCTATGTTGCGTTACTCGACCAAGAGGGTAGGGTGCGGGGTTTAGATGGTCAAGAGCCTTTCAAATCACTGGCCAAATCCTTCTTTCACAGGGATGCACTGGGGATGAGGGTGGACATGTTTTTCTCTATAACCTTTGCCGGATATAGATAGTTTTCAAACTCAATATTTTATTTAGTGATCTTTGGCTTCATCAAATGTTATGGAATGATTTTGTGTTATTGTTAAACATACTCTATCAAGTAAAGATGAATTTCAAGGGAGTTTGGTTCATAACTAATTTGTTGTAAGATTTTGTTCATCTGATTCTATATGGTTTGTTTTTGGGATAATCTGTTCACCAGCTTGTTGCTTTCGTTTTCATGCAGGAAATAATAACTGTAGTAGATAGTGAGATAATTCTAATTAACAAAATGCATTTCATATATTTAGTATATCTATACTTACTAGTGCACCTGTTCCTTTTTGCAGAGGTTGATGAGCTGCTGTGTTCTCTTAAGCATGTCCAACACACACTGATAGATCCACAAAGTCAGGAAGAAATTGCTCTCATTTTACAGCTTGTGCAAAATACTGACTTTCAAAATGCATTTAAGATACACAATGCCGTTACTGTGCATATGAACAAAGCAAGTCCTCCATATCCTCTTATCTCCAATGCACAAGAACTTGCACAAGAGGTATGTATGGTATACATTCTCATTTAATAATTAAAGTTCCAGTAATTACTTCGTTCCAAAGTGGTCCTAGGTGTGGCATTAAAAGCTCTCCATAATTAAATTAGTATTTGCTTTTCCTAGTCTAGAAGAAAATGCTTTTTAGATCCCAGAAGTAATAAGTATATGAGAATTTAGGTTTGCAAATACACTATTTCATATTTTTAAAGACTATATTTAAGCAATGTGAAGTTTCATTCTCTAAATAAATATAAAAGTATGTAAAGTGTTTCTTTACATTAATACAGTTGTTAAGATCATAGTTCTGCATGTCCAAGGGAACATGCATTTCTTAAATAGCACTGCATTATTATAGAAACATCAAATATTCTTTGAAACAATATTTTTGTTCTTGGGATCCAGGCAGCATGAGGAAATGCCATATTATTCTACTCAGCATTTAATTGTTTTTTAAAAATTAAAAGTATTTAAAAATATAAATAAATAAAATAAATTACACACCTCCCTTCTTATATCAAATTTGTTATAATTGATTTCCAGCTACAGTTTAATGCCCTCAAATTATATTTCATTCACTAAATTTGTTAGTATAGCAAAACCAAATTACTGAAATCTTTGTATAATGTTTAAACTTCTTTAAATAAAATATAGATCTGGGACATAAATTTCATATAAAAATGAATAACTCTTAGGATCATTTTAAAATTTCAGGGATTTACAGATAATTGAATAAACATTTGTTACAATCTGCATTGTACTTTGCTGTTTTGATGTTAACATTCAAACACTTGTAATACTTATGAATTAATCATTAAAAGCACTTTAAAGAAATTGGCATGTTTCAGTATTGTCAGATCTACAAAGATTAGGAGTATTGAATATTTTACACATTTACTTATTTAGAGATTTTATATGGCTGCCCATCTTATCTACATAACTATAGGTGATTAACTAAAACCCACAAAAAATATAATAAAGCAAAAAGCTAAAGCGAAAAATACAATAAAGCGAAAAGCTAAATTAAAATAATAGTAACAAAACCTGTTTAGCAACTGGATTTTGACATCTAGTGCTGGCTGCTGAGTGACACCCAATTTGTGACACCGTATCCACACCTTAAAAATGATTTAACCACCATAATCCTCACTGGAGGTTTTCAACACCAGTGTTGCTCTTAATCCAGTGTGCATTGTGATCAGGCACAGATATTTGAGTTTGAGGGTAGATTTAGTCAGGAAACTGACATATTACAAACTGTCACTTCCTAAGGTAGTTGCTAAAGAAGAACTACTTGTACTGCCTCAGAAATACTATAGGTACACTTAGTCCATAAGCTCATATATACAGGAGTCTTGGTGGCTCAATGGTTAGAATGCAGTATTGCAGGCTAACTCTGCCCATACCCCGGAGTTTGATTCTGATGGGATCAAAGTTGACTTAGCCTTCCATCCTTCTGAGCTTGGTAAAATGAGGATCTAGATTGTTGGGGGCGATATGCTGACTTGTAAACTGCCTAGAGAGTGTTGTAAAGCACTATTAAACAATATATACGTCTAAGCGCTATTGCTATTGCTGTATACATCATCCTGAATCCTTATATGTAACAGGCAAAACCTCTCAAAATTATATTGCCAAAATGTGTTATCTAGTCAATTGATTTTCAGTAATATTTTATGTATACAAATGTTTGTATATCACCTGAGTGAGGGGATAGATAGGCAACTCATCAGATTTGCAGATGACACCAACCTGGCAGGAATAGTCAACACTCCAGAAGATAGGCTTAAGATACAGAACGATCTTGACAGACTTGAAAATTGGGCGCTATCTAACAAAATGAAATTCAGTGGTGAAAAATGTAAGGTTCTACATTTAGACAAGAAAAACCAAATGCACAGGTACAGTATAGGTCTGTGGTGGCAAACCTATGGCACGTGTGCCAGAGGGGGCACTCAGAGCCCTCTCTCTGGGCACGTGCGTGTTGCCTCAGCCCCACCTCCCCCCGCAGCTGCCTTCTCACCAGCAGCCACCCCGGAGGAGTCACCCCCCGGGCACGGCCCACGCGGAGCAGCACAGCCAAGGATATGGCAGCCAGGCAGCAGGGAGAAGACTCCACTCTCACAGCCTGTTACGCGCAGATGATGCTGCAGGGTGCGGGCAGAGGGCATGGTCACTATGGCGCTGCAGGGCCACCTGGGCAATCTGTGGCAGACCGTGGAAGTGGTGGGTGGCCCTGCGGGCAGGTGGGACAGGAGCGCGGGGGCAGAGTGGGTAGGGGAGCAGAGCGGTTTTTGGGCACTCGATCTCTAAAAGGTTCGCCATCACTGGTATAGGTGGTACCTTGCTCAATAGTAGTAACTGTGAGAGGGATCTTAGAGTCTTAGTGGACAATCACTTAAATATGAACCAGCAGTGTGCTGCAGCTGCCAAAAAAGCTAACACAGTTCTAGGCTGTATTAACAGGGATAGAATCAAGATCATGTGAAGTGTTAATACCACTTTATAATGCCTTGATAAGGCCACACTTGGAATACTGCATCCAGTTTTGGTCACTATGATGTAAAAAAGATATTGAGATGCTAGAAAGAGTACAGAGAAGAATAACAAAGATGATTAGGGGACTGGAGGCTAAAACATAAAGAAAAGTTGCTGGAATTGGGTATGTCTAGTTTAATGAAAAGAAGGACTGGGCATGGCATTATAGCAGTGTTTCAATATCTCAGGGGTTGCCACAACGAATAGGCTACTCTTCAAAGCACCTGAGGGCAGAATAAGAAGCAATGGGTGGAAACTAATCAAGGAGAGAAGCAACCTAGAACTAAGAAGAAATTTCCTGACAGCTAGAAAAATTAATCAGTGGAACAACTTGTCTCCAGAAGTTGTGAATGCTCCAACAATGGAAGTTTTTAAGAAGAAATTGGAGAATCATTTGTCTGAAATGGTATAGGGTTTCCTGCCTAAGCAGGGGGTTGGACTGGAAGTCCTCTAAGGTCCCTTCCAACTTTATTATTCTGTTCTATTCTACCTTCTGGGATTCTGGATGGTTTTCAGTAACTGTTAAATAAAAAAAACCTTCGCTCTGAAAAACAGCCCACCAAACTTTAACAGCAGCAAAGAGAAATCAGCCTATCAAGGTAATCCTACCATACCATTATAATTAAAACAATAATATATCTATGGAGATTCTCAGTCATCCAGGTTATGGTTGCCCCAAAGGTGCTTTTTCAAAAGGCAACTGGACTTCGTTTTTCCTTGAAGATGGTTAGCTTCTCATCCATGAACTGAAGAACTTTCTTGGATGAGAAGCGAAACATCTTCAAGGAAAAACAAGTCCAGTTGCCTTTTGAAAAAGCACCTTTGGGGGTAAAACAATGATAGTATAAAATGGCCTTTGATCTCTTGCAAAAACCTAGCAGAATGAGAACTCCATGCATCTTTCAGGCAAAGATTTTTCATAGTGGGAGGAACCACCAAAAAAGGAACCTTGGACTCTCAACCCCTTTACTTCAATTAGGATGTAGAACTTCAGCATTCCCTGTTCTCAAGACGAACACACAGGTTGGGTTCCATCTTTTCAGGATGGAATTAGACCCCTGTCTAGTCATGTTTGGTAGTACCCCATCATTCCCCTCCCGCAGGAGTTACAGACCTACTTAGATGGCTGTTCTTCAGACATTTGGAATTGGAAGATCCTTGAATACTCTTGAGGGAATGTTATGTTAAAAACTAATGTGGTCTCTGATTTCTTTTATCCATTTACTGTATTGAAAAAATAGTTAGGAAATCAATGTTTGACATACTACACTACTTATAGAAAAGATGTTCTTGTGTGAAAAGTAAAATAATACTTTGCTTATGATGTATGGTAACTGATGTTACATTTTTGGTGTTTCTAATTCCCAGGTACAAAATGTTTTGAGACCAAGCCATCAGAAAGATGGGCTGGAACTTAATTCTTTATTGAATGCTCCTCATGTTCAGGTAGGAACACTCTATTTTAAAGTGTAGAATATTGTTTTTTAAAATATACTATAAACAATATATAGATATCTATTGTTTTTTCTCTCTATCTGTATACAAGCTCTGTATGCCTGGAATGGGGCACTTCAGAAATGGAATGCTCCTTTCTGTGTAGTCACACGATTCTTCAAAATACAGGGAATCCCTGTGTTTTGAATAGCCCCACCAGAGCACAAACACTCCACAATGCCAAATCCTAACCCCCACCTCAGGGCAACCACATTCCTTCACTAACCTTTCTAGCTCCATTCTCCGTGTGCAACAAAAGAACTTTATGGGACTAAAAAAAAAAGAGAGAGAGATCAATCTGACCTTCCAACTTCTTGCGAAAAAAAAAAAAGATCTTGCAAAGTTGGAAGGTCTGATTGAACTTTTTTTTTAACCGGTAGTCCCACAAGCTTCTTTTGTTGCCCTGCACGTGTTGGCAGAAAATGGAACTGGAAAGGAGGTTAATGAAGAGAGGCTTTGGGGAAGCAAGGAGAGACGGGGAAGGGTCTGGTCTGGCCGCCGCTGCCTCACCCCGCCAGTATCAAGGTCCAGAGGCTTTTCACCGGAAAAAAGCCATTCCTCAAGCCCCTTCCTGACGAAAACAAGCCTCCAGAGCAAGCACACCACGATCTCCGGCTAAGTTTTCACAGGAAAAAGCCAGTTCTCAAGCCCCTTCCTAGTGAAAACAAGCCTCCAAAGCAAGCGCGCCTTGCTCTTTGGCTAATTTTTCGCAGGAAACAGCCATTTCTCAAGCCTCTGGAGCAAGCGTGCCTCATTCTTTGGCTAAATTGTAGAAAAAAGCCATTTCTCAAGCCCCTTCCTGGCAAAAACAAGCCTCTGGAGCAAGCATGCCTCACTCTTTGGCTAGGTTTTTGCAGGAAAAAGTAATTTCTTAAACCCCTTCCTAGTGAAAACAAGCCTCCGGAGCGAGCATGCCTCGCTCTTCTAAAGAGCAATCATACAAAAAGAAGCTTCTGGAACAAGGGCACTCCCTCCAGAGGCTTGTTTTTGCCAGGAAGAGGCTTGAAAAATGGCTTTTTTAGGCAAAAACGGAGCCAAGAGTGAGGCACTTGTTTCTAAGTGCATTTGCATTTAGACGGAACTTCCAGTTTCCCCAAGGTCTCCATCCTGGTGAAAATTGTTCCAGCAGTGGCGGAAAGGAGTTGAGGGCGGGACCAAACACCGCGAGAGTTCAGGCTCCCATTCTCTGCAAAAGAGGATCGGTGCCTGAACCCGCGCAATATTACGGGCACCCAGGAGCTTCCATCGACTTTCCCTCAAAAGCAGAAACCACGGCAGAGAGGAGACCGATCTTTTCAAGGTGAGTCCGGCACAGCAGGAAGGGAGGGGGAAGCATGAGGTATCTTAGTGGGCCGGGGAGGCCTTGGGGGCCTATTCCATCATTAGGCCCCCCCCCCATGGCCTTCCCTACCCTGAGATACCTCATGGGTGTCTCTGTGATTGCATGATCGCAATTTAGGCATTTGGAGGCTGGCCCACAATTATTCTCTTCTTGTCAGTAGACAAACTGGCAGCAACTGTTGTTATGTAACAAACATGCATGCCGTTAACAAATATGTATGACTTATATCAGAACTGCAACCAGAATTGGTGGTCTCAGTTATGGTTGTAACTGACTTTCCTGGTAGCATTCCTTAATTTGATTGTCCACGCATATGGAATCAGAAGAAAATATAAGAAAAGTGTCTTCTGGTTCATATTGCATCCAGTATTGAATTTTGTATCCAGTATTGAATTTTTGTGGTATTTTTACCCTATGCCATCTATTTGGTCATACCATAATAAACTGTAAGTATACTGTTTTGCACCAGGCACTACTATTGGCTCATGATAAAATTGCTGAACAAGAAATGCAACCCGAATCAGTGGCAGATGAAAAGATATACGAAAATGTTGGTGTGTATGGAGGAGAAACAGTTAAAATTGTTCGCATTGAGAAAGCGAGAGATATTCCATTGGTAAGTATCCTAAAATGTGATCTGGAAAAACATTGACTCTCATATTTTTTACAATGCTCAGTCTGATCATTATAGTACATTGTCTCAAAAAAGAGAATACAAAGCTCTCCCTCAGGTATATAAAAATGTGCAAATCATTTTCCCACTCTACAGATGGCTTTGTGGACTGATAAGTAATGAGTTTTTGCTCGTATTCTCAGATTTTCCTGAAAATTCTGATCTATTTTAAGTAGACTCAAGTGCTGGTTTCTTATATGTATGTTTCTGCATAAAATTGAATTGAAAATTGAGCATATTTTCTGTATTTATAAGGCACAGCTCTTAATCTTCCTCAATATATGAATATACTAAAGTTTAATACTTTATAATTCATTCCAGTAAACCGCTGTGCTTTAGATAAACTACACAGCAGGATTGTTTTCCTCTGCCACAGTACACCAGTTCTATAATTGCATTCATATTCATCACAGTATATAGGAACGATTGTATAAATGACCTTGGAAATGAGTCATTAAAAGAAATAAAATAGCTACACAATTTGGGAAAATGAAAAACCTGAGAAATAAACTCAAAATAATTGCTTTTATTCTATTTGGTACAAGGTTGGGTAAAAAGAAACTCTGATACCCTTTCACACTTGTGTTTATTATGCCTTATAAAAATAGTTTTGCTGGAGTACGTGTGATGTGTTTCCTGACCTGCCATGTCTTGAAAAGTTGACAGGATACATGCATCTTTACCATTATGTTACAACTCTTCTTCCCAAAAGGCACCTTTGTTTTGTCATTTTATACCCATATGATAGGATGAAGAAAGGAAAACAAAAAAAATTATATCTGGTTACTTTTTTTGGCTCTGTGAGCCACAAAATCTAAGTATGATATTGCACATTTATTAGTAGAGAGAATTAATGTTTTTTGTAATGATTGGCACACGATGCCATAATATGCTAATAGAAACTAAACATTATCTAAAAACTGTATTTTTAGTTTTTCTTTCTTTTCATTCTATTTTTAACCTCCTGAAAGACTGAAGAATATCATTGAAACACAAACATGCATGATTCTCTTACAGATTTTTCTGTCTTCCGGACTCTGTGGAATAGATCAGACCAATTTTAAGATGTCTGGACTTCAATTCCCAGAGTTCCCCAGCCAGAAAGGCTGATTGGGGAACTCTTGAGAGTAGAAGTCTAGACATCTTAAATTTACCATGGTAGAGAAACACTGGATTAGACTGACAGGTTGATCATAAGATGCCTGAGTGGTGGTTTCAGTCTGGTTCGAATCAAACTTCTTTTATTTCAGTTGTATTTCTCATCATCTCAGATGTTCACTTTCTATTACCCAGGGTGCTACAGTACGAAATGAAATGGATTCAGTCATCATTAGTCGAATAGTGAAAGGAGGTGCTGCAGAAAAGAGTGGGCTCTTACATGAAGGTGATGAAGTTTTGGAAATCAATGGAACTGAAATTCGTGGAAAAGATGTTAATGAGGTTTTTGACTTGCTGGTATGTTATGTCACTTATTTGATAGAGCCAGTTTTGGTATAATGGTTAAGGCATTGGGCCAGAAATCGGGAGTCCAGGAGTTTTAGTCCTGTCTTGGGTGAGAAGCCAGTTGGGTGACCTTGGGCCAGACACTTTCTCTCAACCCTAGGAAGGAGGTAATGGCAAACCACTTCTGAAAAACGTTGCCAAGGAAACTGCAGGGACTTGTCCAGGTGAACTGAGAATTGGATACAATTGAAAAAAGGGGTGGAGCAAAGAAAACCTTCTGATGTTATATTTAGTATGCCAATTGAAAATTGTTTCAAAGAATCAGTTCTTGGAGCTCCATCAATACTCATTTGTAGAAGTCAGAGACTTTGTTTAGACTGAACTTTAATGGCCATGCATAAGCTTCTAAGTTTCTATTAGTGGAATGTTTAAGTTGTAACTATTTCTGATTTAAATATGTTTTACCAGCCAAAATTTCCATGTATATCTTAAGACATAATGAAAATGGCTTTAACATCTGTATGTTGCACCAAGAAAGGCCGAGTATTATATTTTTAGCAAGGTACAGTACAAAACACAACACAATAAATACAAATAAATTGAATTGGTTTGAACCCAATAAACAAATGTTAACCCTAAAACAGCCAGCATAACAGTACATTAAAATATGCCTGGGATACAGCCTAGTGCAGGGGTAGGCAACCTTGGCTCTTTTATGACTTGTGGACTTCAACTCCCAGAATTCCTGAGCCAGCCTGAGCCACAAGTCATAAAAGAGCCAAGGTTGCCGACCCCTGGCCTAGTGCATATGCATCCCTAATCATTTAAAACAAGCATTCTACCTTGAATAAATGCCAGCTAAGTGACTTGGCCCAGTCACTTTTTCTCAACTCAGCTCATCTTAACAGTTTTATTTATTTATTAAAATAGTTATGCCACACATCTCACTGGTACAGATTATAAATAAACAAAGTGAAATAATAAATTATATCCCACTCTTTATTTGCAAAACAGTTTTAAAAGTTCTTTGGCCTAAAGAAGTGAAAACAATAACAGAATATGTATAGTGTCAGAATCCAGCAGATTAAAATATATTGGAATATTGACAAAAAGTTAATTCATAAATAAAAATCAGGGATACTCTGTCTCCGAAGTGTGACCTGAGTAATGGTGCCATTCCCATTGTTAAACTGCTTATGGTGCTAGGTCTGGTACACATGGCTGATTTTTAAAAGAAGAATAATGTAGCACTTTATATCAGAATCCATCCAAATGGAGTTGTGAAATCTCAAATCAGCATATAGAAAAAAGACAGTTGGGTAAGAACAGTAATTTACCAAGGAACCTAAGATGATTTAAAATTATAATTCATTGATGCTTTTCTTCACAGGCAGACATGCATGGCACTCTGACATTTGTACTGATTCCAAGTCAGCAGAGCAAGCCCCCACCTACTAAGGAGACAGTGGTATGTGACTGTATCAGATAATACTTCACATAACAGAGGTTCAGTTGATGCTTAAGTTTGTTTGTTTTTTTTAAAAAAAACCTTCTCTTTATTTATATTTGTTTATTTATAAATTTTATTGGCCTTTCATCTTACCGTAGAGTAACTCTGAGCAGCTTACAGTGATAAAAATGTATATATGTTAAAACAAAAATTAAACATTAAAAATCTAAGGACATGTTATTCAGAGTCACTTGACATTTCAAAAACTAAGGAACATCAGGCCACCCACTCCTTTATTCTTGGTTATAACAATCTAAAATTCACTTTTTGAATTTTACTTAGAATCCTACCACAATTTATTATTTAAAGGAAGTATTCGAGCTATATGTGAAGAAGAAATTTAATTTAAAAAGACTCTTGAGTCTTGTATATTTCTACAAGTGTCTGGAGCAGTAATTTGAAGAGCAAGTTTCTTTTCTAAGAGGCAGGAGAAAATGAATAGGAGAGAATGATAAAGGCTTTCTGGATTGTCATGTCCACATCTTAGGGTTTTCCTTAGTATCTGTTATCCCTTCCCCATGAGAAGCTTTAGGAGAAGTACAAGGGCTAGTAAGAGAGAAGCCTTCCTGTTTCTTAACATGAATGAATCTACTAATCGTGCATCCTGTAAGATGTAAAAGACTAGGATAGTCAAAACACCTCCATCTGAAACTGCCAAAGGGCATTCATGAGAATCACCAGTGCAGTTTCCAACCCTTGCACAGGTCTGAAGCCAGAATGCCAGAGGTCTAGTTAATCCATATCCTACAGAGCCATTTGTTTCTTGGCCCAACTATGTTCTCAGTAAACCCCTCCTCCATAAAGAATTTAAAATGGTAGAAATTGTTTAGTTTTGTTGGATTGAACCCTGATTTCTTGAGTGAGCAAACCAGTGCCTCTTTAAGGACTTCTGATAGCTCCTACTTAATCACAGGTGAGATCCAACTTTGAGTCTCCTGCCATACTGCTTTAATTCATCAGGTGGGGGACAGATCCAGTTCACAAGTAGCAAAGCTAAGATTGCAGAGGACTGTTCATTTTGGAAGATCTGTGGGCCCCAAAGCCTCCCAGATAATACTACAAGATGTTACTTCTAACATTTCTATAGATTCTATCCATCTTCTAATTGGGAACGCATGCAAATAATTTTATCTATGAAGTTCTCAGCCAGACAATAGCAACTTAACGCTGACTGGATCTTCCAGCCTATCCTTCCCCAGAAGAATCCAGAACACATTAGCTGCCCAGCAGCCCATGCCCTTTTTACTACAGCATAGGTTTGAACCTGGGCTCCTGCCAATGTCAGGTTGCATTCACTTCTTGAGCATCATTCCAGCTGTCTCTTTGCCTACTTCACTTCACAATGCTCCTCAATAAATCAAAGAACTGCATCAGTGGGCAGGGAGTACCTAGTCAGGACCTAGCTGTTAAGTACCCTAGTTCAGGGGTCTCCAACCCCTGGGCCGGTCCACGGCATGCCACCAACCAGTTCACACAAACAAGCAAAGCCCCATCTGCAGAATGCAGGCAGCACACAAAACCATGCCCCCTCCGGTCTGAGGAAAAACCTCCACAGGACTGGTCCCTCCCTAGTACCCAAAAGGTTGGGGACCTCTGCTCTACTTGTCTCTATATTCCAATATTCAACAAGGAGCCTAACAGAAGACTTTCCAGGTTCCTGGGGAATTCTAGGAAATCTTTTAACTCCATCAGATGATGTGTCCATTGGGAATTTTAATCCATTTTTTAAGTAAGGGTATTTAAAAAGGAGGGGGAATGTCTTACTAGAAATTAATCATTAGAATTGCCTATCCACTTTTGTGTTTGTATATTTTTGTGTCCTAGATACATGTGAAGGCTCACTTTGACTACGATCCTTCTGATGACCCTTATGTCCCTTGCAGAGAGTTAGGGCTGTCTTTTCAAAAAGGAGACATACTCCATGTGATCAGCCAGGAAGATCCAAATTGGTGGCAGGCTTATCGAGATGGAGATGAAGAAAATCAGCCTTTGGCAGGCCTCATTCCAGGTAGTTAATATTAAGAACAGCAGACAATTCACAGAGATGTTCATAAAATATTCCCCCCCCTCCACTCTCAATGCTTCCTATTGGTCTCTTGAGCAAAGAAATGTTTTATTTTGTATGATGCCTTCTAATATAATACAATCATTATCCCTTTTTTGAAGAGTTGATAAAAAGCAGAAGCAATAGCACAGTTAATACCAGCAGTTTATTGGCCTGATGTTCCCCCTAGGTTTTTAATCATGAAAACATAATGTTTGGTTATGTGCTTATTTTATTGTTACATCTTCAACAATAGAATCATATTTTAAAACTAGTTTTTTCTGTATATTTGAAATGTAATCAATAATATTGGAAATAGAAAAAAATATGTGCAAGTGCTATTGGTCTTAAATAAAATATGTATAACGTGCATTGAAGTTACAAAGGGAATGCTTGCTGTAGGGCAAAGGCTTGCAACTGAAAGGGCTCCTGCGTTATACAGTATAGCAAATAATAAATTTAGATTTATTCATGTTTATAATGTTTCCTTAAGAATACAGCAAGGCAGAATGGACCTATTAATAAACTTTAGTTTGGGAATTTATTATTTAAATTGCTACAAATGTACTTTTTCACAAGAACAAGAGCATTCTACTATTGTACCATATTTAATGACTAGCAAAGTATTAGAGCCCTTTTTATTGCTCCTTTAGGTGAGAGAACAATACAGTGAAAATAGATAAACCTATAATTAATAAATCGCTAGAGAAAGCAATTAAGTTTGGAAGAGTTAACGGTAAAAGGAAACTAGGCCGCCAAAGAACATGGTGGCTGGACACCATGAAAGCTGACAGAAGCCAAAGCATAGAACAATTCAAAGAAACAGTGCTTTTTTGTTAAAAAAAAAAAAAAAGGTGCTGGAACTCACACATGTCATACAACCCGCCTTGCCTACCCTACAAGGTTCCATCCAAAAGAGGTGCCAGAACTCCGTTCTGGGCGTTCTATGACAAAAAAAGCCCTGCAAAGAAGTAATGCAAGATTGGAAGATGTGGGGAGGCCTGGCCCATAGAATCTCCAAGAGTCAGACATGACCGAATGAATATCATCGTTATTCATCAAAACCAAAAAATTGACATAAAATATAATAAAATTGCATAACATAAATTAATAAAGTAACATCTATTTATTAAATTTATATGCCTCCCATCTTATTGTTGAATGGCTCTGGGTGGCTTACAACATCATAAAACAGTGAGATAAAATATTAAAACATTAAAAACATTGTTAAAAGTGAACAAAAACTGAGTTTAAAAAAGGAACGAATACATACATGGGGTGGAGATGGGATCTTCTCAACCTGCTAACTATCTCCAATGAGGGATGCCCCGCCCCAACCAGGACCCCAGACTAATTGGCATAACCAGGTCTTCAGGCCTTTTCAGAAAGCTAAAAGGATGGGGACAGATCCCGTAGGGCACAATGTTCCACAATAGGCTCTTCTGGACCCCCACCAGCCAAAGTTGCTTGGCCAACAGGATCTATAGCCAGCCTCTTCTGCCAGAGCAAGTGGGGTGGGCCAATCCCATAATACACAAATAGTTTCATAATTAATTTGAATCTGAATCCATTTTATGTCATTGTCTTGACTTGCCAAATAGAGAAAAGAAAATTGCTCACAGGGTGAGAAGCATATTCTTTGTACAGTTTTATGAAAGATACATGTTTAGTAATTTTTTTTCAAATATTTTCAGTGGCAGTTTTCTTTGAGCCTCTCTTGAAATGCTCTCAAAATCACATAGTTTATTATTATGAGAAAGATACTGTTATGTTCTCTCAGTGTTAATTCTTATACGTACTTTCTTTCATGAAGGAAAAAGTTTTCAGCAGCAAAGAGAAGCGATGAAGCAAACTATAGAAGAGGACAAAGAGCCAGAAAAATCAGGTAAGTGGAAGACTTCAAAAATACTTGTGTTAACAAGTTTAGTGTTTTTCAATTGTCTTAATAGTTGCAGCAGATAGATGGATTTATTATCTGGACAATTGATTTGTCTTAAGAGGGATGATCGGGTTTAAGTATCCCCTTTCTTTTAAGGAGATACTACTCAGTGTTTTTCAAATTTGGCAACTTTAAAATGTGTGGACTTCAACTTTCAGGACATGCTACCCTGAGAATTCTAGGAGTTGGAAGTCTATGTATCAACTTTAACAAGGTCTATCTTAAGTGCAATTCTTATATGCAATTTTTCTTAACAAGCATTGTTTAGAAAAAAACAATTAAAAAGACCAAGTTCAGTAACTGACTGTTGTTTGGTTGCTTTTAGGGAAGCTTTGGTGTGCAAAAAAGAACAAAAAGAAACGGAAGAAAGTTTTGTACAATGCCAATAAAAATGATGGTAAGAAAGGGTTTCAGCTGACTTCAAGATATTTTTTTTCTAGATGAATGAATTGTTAATGAGATATGGTGCAGATGGTCCTCAACCTGCAACCACGGTTGGGACCAGAATTTTTGTTGCTAAGCAAGGTGGTTGTTAAGTAAATCGCACCCAATTTCAGGACCTTTTTTGCTACGGTTGTTAAGTGGATCACTTCTGTTATTAAGTAAATCATGTGATTGTTAAACAAATCTGGCTTCCACCATTGACTTTGCTTGTCAGAAGCCGGCTAGGAAGGTCATAAATGGTGATCCATGACCTCAGGATGCTAAACTATTATAAAATACGTACCGGTTGCCAAGTGCCCAAATTTTGATCATATGGCCCTGGGGATGTTGCAGTGGTTGTAAGTGCAAGGATTGGTTGTACATTTTATTTTTCAGTGAATGGTTGCTAAATGAATGGTTATAAATCAAGGTCTACCTATATACAGTAACTATTCCCTTTTTTTGTTTTATCAAAGTATATAGTTATGATAGCTCAGTTGCTTATTTTAAAAATAAATTAGTCATACAGAATCATTTAAAATATTTGAAATATTTTTTATATCTTCTCGTCTCTTGTTCTTTGGGTTTTGACCACATTTATGATTACCACCATATTGTACAGTAACTCTTATTTGAGGGTTCAGTGTCTCCATAGCAGTTCAGAAATGATACTAATCTTCAGGGATGCATGTAGTCCTCAACTTATGGCTACAATTGGGAATGGAAGTCCCATTACTTAGCAGTGCAATCCTTAAGTGAGTCGTGCCTGATTTTGTGATCTTTTACCTGGTTGTTAAGCAAATACAGCTTCCTCTATTGAGGAAGCTTGTCAGAAGCTCCCTGAGGAAGTTGCATATGGCAGTCATGTGACCTGAAATGTATTTTTGATGTGACCATCAAAAATACATGCTGGTGCCTGACTTTGATCACATGACTGTGGGGAATGCTGTGATGGTCATAAGTGTGAGGACTGGTCATAAGTCACTTTTGTCAGTAATGTCATAACTTCCAATGGTCATTAAACAGATGGCTGTAAATTGAAGACTACATATATGAGTATTTTTTTTACTCAGGATCAAAAATTTGGATAGGAAATAAATCTTCTCTTTTGACAGTGACTCTTCATGTTGTGAAGAAAGATGCCAAAAAGCATGTGAACACAATTCCACATCTAATATTTTGAATCATTATTTGAATTAAATAATTTTCTTAATCTATTAAAGGCATCTCAGAGGACTTTTATTATTAATTTAAATCTCAACCGTGTCAATCTATATCAAATATATATATATGTATATATATATGTAGGTCTTTGGTTGTTCGGGTTTTCTCCCACGTAAAATTGGAAGTGTCTTGGCGACGTTTCGACGAAGTCCCATTCGTCATCTTCAGGCTGGTGCTTTCAGCTTCGTGCCTCGAGCAGCAATGTGTGGTCTTAGCTGTTTCTTCCTTTTAACTGCCAGTGGGGGTATGAACTGATTGGGTGGGAGCTTGGCTGTGTTCTGATTGGGTGGAGGTGTGTTCTGATTGGTTAGGGGCGTGGCTGTGCTCTGATTGGCTGGGGGGTTGGCTGTGCTCTGATTGGCTGGGGGGTTGGCTGTGCTCTGATTGGCTGGGGGAGTGTTCTGTTTGGTTGTGCTCAGGTTAGTCTGAGTTGCAGAGGGATTCAAGATTTTGGGCTGCCCTGCCATTCCTTGGCTTTGCGTTCGTGGTCGTGCTTCCTCTTCATGGAGGGTGTCAGTTTGCTTCATGTATGGATTGGGGGGGTTTAAAGTGGCTAATGATGCAGCTGTGGTCTGGCTTCTGGTTTGTGGTCGTGCCTCATAGTCAGTGTGGCTTTGGGTTTGTTTTTTGCGTGGATGTTTGGTGGTGACCTCCTGTGTGGTTTTTGTGAGTGTGGGTCTGGTATCATTTTTTGTGTTAGGGAGTCGTTTGTCAATGAGGGCGGGTTTCCAAATGGCTGGTAGGCGGGAGGTATCATCTCGCTTGTTCATGCTGTGTGGGCGTTTTTCTATCTCGATGGCTTCTCTGATTATTCTGTTATTAAAATGTTCACTTTTGGCAATGGTTCTGGTATTTTTAAAGTCAATTTCATGTCCTGTGGCTTTAAGGTGTTGGACCAGGGAAGATGTTGGTTCCTCTTTTTTGACTGAGTTCTTATGTTCTTCAATGCGTGCACTTATTCTTCTGTTGGTTTGTCCGATGTATGTGGTGGGACAAGTGGTGCATGGGATTTCGTATACTCCTTGATTTTCTAATTCAATTTTATCTTTGGGGTTTCTAAGGATGGTGGATATTTTTCTGTTTGTGCAGAATGCTGTTTTGATGTTGTGTTTATGGAGGATCTTACTGATTCTGTCTGTGATGCCTTTTATGTATGGGAGGATGGCTTTGCCGTTTTCTTGTTCTTTGTCTTGGATTTTAGTGGGGGTTTCTTTTTGGATTAGGTTTGTAATCTTATTTCTATGGAATCCATTGGATGTTAGTACATTGGTGAGAGTGTGTAGTTCGGGTTTTAGGTGTTGTTCGTCAGCTAAGCGTTTTGTTCTGGAGATGAGTGTCTTGGCTACAGAGTTGATCTGTGCTGGGTGGTGGTGTGAGAGAGCGTGCAGATAGCGGTTTGTGTGTGTTTTCTTCTGGTAGATGGTGTGTCCTAGGGAGCCATTGGATTTCTTGTAGACTAAGACATCCAGGAAGGGAAGTTGGTTGTTAGTTTCTGTTTCCATGGTGAACTGTATTTTGGGGTGTAGGCTGTTGAGGTGTGTGAGGAAGTTGTCCAGTTTTTCTTTCCCATGTGGCCAGATTATGAAGGTGTCGTCTACGTATCTGAGCCAGAGTTTGGGTTTGTGATCCAGATTTTTCTAGAGCTTGGGTTTCAAAGTGTTCCATGTAGAGGTTGGCAATGACAGGTGAGAGGGGTGATCCCATGGGTGCTCCTTCTGTTTGTTTGTATTTTTGTCCATTATAGATGAAGTATGTGTTGGATAGGCAGTGGTTGGTCAGATCTAAGATGTGTTTGGGGGGGTTATATTTGTTTTGGATAGCTGTCAAGGAGCACCCATGGGATCACCCCTCTCACCTGTCATTGCCAACCTCTACATGGAACACTTTGAAACCCAAGCTCTAGAAAAATCGGATCACAAACCCAAACTCTGGCTCAGATACGTAGACGACACCTTCATAATCTGGCCACATGGGAAAGAAAAACTGGACAACTTCCTCACACACCTCAACAGCCTACACCCCAAAATACAGTTCACCATGGAAACAGAAGCTAACAACCAACTTCCCTTCCTGGATGTCTTAGTCTACAAGAAATCCAATGGCTCCCTAGGACACACCATCTACCAGAAGAAACACACAAGAAAACACACACAGATCAACTCTGTAGCCAAGACACTCATCTCCAGAACAAAACGCTTAGCTGACGAACAACACCTAAAACCCGAACTACACACTCTCACCAATGTACTAACATCCAATGGATTCCATAGAAATAAGATTACAAACCTAATCCAAAAAGAAACCCCCACTAAAATCCAAGACAAAGAACAAGAAAACGGCAAAGCCATCCTCCCATACATAAAAGGCATCACAGACAGAATCAGTAAGATCCTCCATAAACACAACATCAAAACAGCATTCTGCACAAACAGAAAAATATCCACCATCCTTAGAAACCCCAAAGATAAAATTGAATTAGAAAATCAAGGAGTATACGAAATCCCATGCACCACTTGTCCCACCACATACATCGGACAAACCAACAGAAGAATAAGTGCACGCATTGAAGAACATAAGAACTCAATCAAAAAAGAGGAACCAACATCTTCCCTGGTCCAACACCTTAAAGCCACAGGACATGAAATTGACTTTAAAAATACCAGAACCATTGCCAAAAGTGAACATTTTAATAACAGAATAATCAGAGAAGCCATCGAGATAGAAAAACGCCCACACAGCATGAACAAGCGAGATGATACCTCCCGCCTACCAGCCATTTGGAAACCCGCCCTCATTGACAAACGACTCCCTAACACAAAAAATGATACCAGACCCACACTCACAAAAACCACACAGGAGGTCACCACCAAACATCCACGCAAAAAACAAACCCAAAGCCACACTGACTATGAGGCACGACCACAAACCAGAAGCCAGACCACAGCTGCATCATTAGCCACTTTAAACCCCCCAATCCATACATGAAGCAAACTGACACCCTCCATGAAGAGGAAGCACGACCACGAACGCGAAGCCAAGGAATGGCAGGGCAGCCCAAAATCTTGAATCCCTCTGCAACTCAGACTAACCTGAGCACAACCAAACAGAACACTCCCCCAGCCAATCAGAGCACAGCCAACCCCCCAGCCAATCAGAGCACAGCCAACCCCCCAGCCAATCAGAGCACAGCCACGCCCCTAACCAATCAGAACACACCTCCACCCAATCAGAACACAGCCAAGCTCCCATCCAATCAGTTCATACCCCCACTGGCAGTTAAAAGGAAGAAACAGCTAAGACCACACATTGCTGCTCGAGGCACGAAGCTGAAAGCACCAGCCTGAAGATGACGAATGGGACTTCGTCGAAACGTCGCCAAGACACTTCCAATTTTACGTGGGAGAAAACCCGAACAACCAAAGACCTACATACAAATACCCGCGAAAACCTCAGAAAACAAATATATATATATATATATATATATTTTAGGTTTTTAGGTTTTGCTAACAAAGAATAAAGAGAGAATGGTATAGCTATTTCGGGTTCCTTTAACCCTCCATTCTCTCTTTATTCTTTGTTAGCAAAACCTAAAAACCTAAAAATGTAAAATGATGTCGCAGTTAGTGACTGCTGCTTGTGGATGGCTCTAGATTGAGCTGATACAGGCAAAAGAAAAAGAAAAGAAAGAAGATTTCTTTCTCCCATATCTGGGCTGACAGGGTGTTCATTCAAGGTAAAAAAATATATATATATATATATATGCGATTAAAAAGGTTAAAAATATGAACCCTGGGAATATTCATGGTGAAAATATAAAATGAACACCAGGGTAATAAAAACTGTAAAAGTTTTTAATAAATTAAAACTATAAAAGTTTTAAAAAGCGCCAAGCTTTCGCCGTCACCTGCCGGCATCCTCAGGGCTGGCGCGCCAGAGAATGAGTTTTTATTACCCTGGTGTTCATTTTATATTTTCACCTATATATATATATATATATATATATATATATATATATATATATATATATATATATATATATATATATATATATATATATATATAATAAAAATACAAATAACTTACTACCACCAGGAGGATCCAAGTAAGAAAATATTTTAATAAAACCAAGCTTTCATTGGGCACTCCCAACATCGTCAGGGTTAAAAGCCAGTTAGAGAAAACACCTTAAATAAGGTTAGCTAACGCTTGCGCCCGGCTCCTAGAACGCATCATTGGTCCTAGCTAATTAATCTGTGTTCTGGTCGTTTCTGTGGCGTTTGCACTCAGCCCTCTTATATCACTCTTTCGAATACTCCTGCTTGTCCTCTCAATATTACTTCTTAGATTCGTTAGAATCCTTTCACCCTCTTCCTCTTCAGTGATATTTACTCCCATATCACCTTTCCCTCTGCTATGGGTTATGGGGGGGGTCATTCGATTTTATACTCCCATATGTTTCATTAAGATTCCAAACATCTTTTCCCATCTCCAATTGCATGTCGATGGTCTCTCTTTGCTCCCCCTCTCCCATCCTCTTCCCCTTCCTTATATGGGCAGTATTAGTCCGGGTATCATGCAGCTCAGCACCTCCCCCTTTGCCCCCCACCTTAGCGCTCTCCATGTCAACTGCCCCTTGCTGTCCTGTCCATTGCTGGCAGTTGTCACCCCTATTTGGGGCGAATCCCTTGTACGCCATGGGGGAAGCCGTCAGTTGTGGGTGTGAGTATCTCCCGTCCGTAATCTTCCGCTCGCTAACAGGGCGAGGGGGGGAGAGATCTCCCTCTCTTTTGCAGCCCAAGCGAGTTGTAATTCGGCAACTTGGTTTTATTAAAGTATTTTCTTACTTGGATCCTCCTGGTGGTCGTAAGTTATTTATATTTTTATTATGAATATACCCAGGAGTCACATCTTTACGGACATTATTAATTATATATGTGTGTGTGTGTGTCTATATCTGAAGCCACACAATACGGCTTATTAATTACTAATAAAAAGCTTTTTGAATTATGTGCACACTGCAATTTATCAGCATTAGCAACTTGTGATATAATACTTCACAATACATGCACCCACATTTATTGCATGAATAACACAAATGTTGTATTGTAATACCTATATAGGCATTGTTCTATAATATGCATACTACTTTCTTGGTCAAAGTTGACTAGGAAGGCACTATGCATATTATAACACATAGGTATCTGTCTACCTATCATTTTCTATCATATATAATTGTAAAAAATAGCTGAGTAGCAGCAAAAGAAATGAGAGAAAACACTTCAAATTATTATTAAAATCCAAACAGTTCTGATATTTGCAAAAGTAGAATTTATATTTATATTTCTCAACTAGTCAGTCTTGCAACAATTTTTAATTTTTTTAGAAAAGAATAAGCTTTTTAAATTTGTACATTTGTTTTGGGCTTTCTTTTTGAAGATTATGACAACGAGGAGATTTTGACTTATGAAGAAATGTCACTTTATCACCAGCCAGCAAATAGGAAACGACCTATTGTCCTGATTGGTCCCCAGAACTGTGGTCAAAATGAACTGTGGCAAAGATTAATGAATAATGAAGCTGACCGATTTGCTTCTGCAGTTCCTCGTAAGTTGACATGTTTCTTAATATGTCATTTTCTAGCTTAGTACACTTGACATATAATGATATTGAGGGAAGATGCTTTAGACTTCCTTAATTGTGTATTTGTTATATATGTAATTAATAAACATGAAGTCATCATAAAGAGAAATTTGTCAATCTTATTCACAAAAACATCACATTACTAATTAATCATTTCTCATTTTTAAGAATGTATTGTTATTCTGTTTATGTTTCAGTAATTTCAATTACATGTGTCATTCTCAGCATCCTGTGTTCAGCAGTGTTCTTAATTCAGCTGCATGTTTGGAAATGTGCTGTATATGACTGGATATATGCCAGTTGCATGTAACGATTTTTGAACCCTTTTAAAGAACCGGAATCTTTTGGATTTAAAACTAAAAGTTATGAATTTAGCTCAAGGAGGCTCGGCTGAAAAAAGTTTTTTTACAGCTCTTTTTTCATAAAGTCTTGAAAACTGATACATTATAATAGTACCTTCTTGCTCAAGATTTATTAAGTTTCCTTATTGGTCTTTTTCAGATACAACACGAAATAGGAGGGATAATGAAGTAGCCGGCAGGGATTACCATTTTGTATCACGGCAAGTATTTGAGACTGATATTACAGCAGGAAAGTTTATTGAGCATGGGGAATTTGAGAAGAATCTGTACGGTACCAGCATAGACTCCGTCCGGCAGGTGATCAATTCTGGAAAGATATGTCTCTTAAATCTTCATACACAGGTAATGACATAGGTTTTGGATTCTAAATTTTTTAATTGTGTTTGTTTATATCCTATTTTTACAAATAATTCAAGATGGAGAACATATCCAATACACTTTCCTCCTCTTATTTTCTCCACAACAACCCTGTGAGGTAGATTGGGATGAGAAAGAGTGACTGGCCCAAGGTCACCCAGCTGGCTTTCATGAATGGCTAAGGGGGACAAACTCATAGTCTTCTGCTTTCTAAGCTGCTGCCTTAAGCACTAGACCAGGGGTAGGCAACCTTGGCTCTTTTATAACTCGTGGACGTCAACTCCCAGAATTCCTGAGTCATAAAAGAGCCAAGGTTGCCTACCCCTGCACTAGATCAAACTGGCTCTCAACTTCAGTATAGTTTTGATTTAACTTTATTGTACTGCGATGATTAAGAAACATGAAATTGTTTCTGCTTTGTTAAGAAATTTAAACATCAGTTGTTAACTTTGCATAGTTAAAGCTAATTTGTGTTAAGAATCCTTTTATGTGACAGTGAAGCTGAAAAACAACTAGTTGAACACAGTTGCCTTAACTTTTTCTTTGGAGAATACCTTTTGCAAGTTTCCATATTCCAGTTCTTAATCACCACACACACTGGAAGTTGTATATCCCTGTAATATATCTTAGTCATACCCCAATATATCTTGGTGTATATGTAGCAGTATACTAGCAAGAAATCTGTGGACTTTAAAAAAAAAATTTAACAGTCAAATTTAGGAGAGGATTAATTTTTTAGGGAAGCTTTATATTTTTACCTGCTAGTCTTTATGTTATGGGCTTTGGTAAGTTTCATATTTAAAATTTAAAAGAGGATGATCTTGTACAATCTTGAGTTCCTGAAAAAGTCATGTCCAAATCTAGATTTATTGTAATATTAAAGTACTTTCTATTGTTATACTACTAATATATTAAAGGATTTTTTTCATTATATAGCTTTTAATCATAACTATTGTACTTCTTATGCAATTTTCTGTAAAGTGGCACATTTGTGGATAACATAGCCTAATATTAAGAAGACCGGTCTTGAATTCAGTAGGTCAAATCCATTTCCTGTTTCCAATTTGTATATGATGAATTCATCCAACATAACTAGGTTTATTTTTATGGTTCTTATAAACAGTTTAGTCAGAAATGCATAATACTATTGACAGTGGATAATTGACATCTCTGATGGTTTCATTTTGTTTGCTATGGATATTAATAGCACAAATTTTATTTTTACATTAGTCATTGAAGAGTTTACGCAATTCAGATTTGAAACCATATATTATCTTCATTGCACCTCCATCACAAGAACGGCTTCGTGCATTGCTGGCCAAAGAAGGCAAAAATCCAAAGGTAATACTCATAGGTAATGTTTTCAATTGTGTTGTTTACATTTTAATGTATATCATGTTTTCAGCCTTGCTATATTTTCCTGGAATATCCCAATTTACTTCCTTATAGCTGAGTGCCCTTGTCACATTAGTAATGTTTAAAGAGGGAAATTATATGGTTATGTTCTAACCTACTAGCGCTACTAGAGTTTTAGTTCTAACTTCATTGATTTCCCTTTTCTGTTAATGATCTCGTGGTTAACATCCAACTATACTTAACAAAAGATTTCCCTTAAAGTAAACCTAAATTTGTGTAGTGACTTCTGCTGGGTTAAGGGAGGTAAATTTAGTAAAAGCAAGGAGAAAACAAAGATAAACTTCTCCGGACTCCCCGTCACAAACTTCCACTGTTCGTTAAAATGTGTCAGAAATGCTTTGGATTAAGAAGAAAATTAGTAGTTTTTATCCTAACACTTGTCTGTCTTGTATATTGTTTTCTCTTATGCAGCTGAGTTCTGCTTTTCTATAAGGCTATATATATGTGTGTGTGAGAGAGAGAGAGCAAGATAAATATTACTGATATAGGATATTTTTTCCACTTCAATTTCAGCCAGAAGAACTAAGAGAAATCATAGAGAAAACCAGAGAGATGGAGCAAAATAATGGCCATTACTTCGATACAGCAATTGTGAATTCTGATATTGATAAAGCATATCAAGAATTACTTCGTTTAATTAACAAACTTGATACAGAACCTCAGTGGGTTCCATCCTCTTGGCTGCGATGAAAAAAACCCCACGCCAATGAAGAAAAGATTTTTGCCAATTGCATACTTTTCATCGTTATTAAATTGTTTAATTCTCAAATCCAACAATGTTGCTCTGATTGTAGAATGTCTGGTTTCTCTACTTTTAATTAGACACTGTGTGAACAAGCCACATTTTAATTATTTAAATAGGTTTTTCTAACAGCTTTTTGTCTAGAGTTTTGTTCTTCAAGCAAGTATATTTATACAGTTCATGATCATTACTAACACAGGTTACTTTACACTGGTAACTTAATGATCTAATGAAAATATTGTAGCTCTCAACAATACCTTTACAAAACATTGGATGGATGAAATAATCAGGAAGAAAAAGGAATTAATCTGCACATTTTCTTCTTAATAGTATAAAGGGGCCACTTATATGGAGTTGTCCTTAGGCTTGAATTTTTTTAAATTTTAAATTTAATTTTTTTAATTAAACATTCCTTTATCCAATAGCACTGCATTTTTTAAAATATGTACAATGTAAATAAACATTTTTTGTCTTTAGATACTTTGTAAATCAGATTGATAGCTTATTAAATAACAAGATTCCACTGAAGATGAATTCTATATATGAGTTAATATTTGAGATGTGATATTTTTATGGATTTTTGCCCCTTTTATCTATATCTCTTGATTGGGAGCCGCTGGTATCCCAAAGAACTGTGGAACATTTTTGAAGGGAAGCTATATTTTTATGACAATAATTCTTATATTAGTTTTTTTTACAAGGCTTTGCTTCCGTACAATGTATAATGGTTTTCATAAACAAACAAATGAAAACTAGAGTTGGGAATAGTGAATATTAGCATATATCCTTGTATTTTTATACCTAGGCACAAGACATCTCATGGCTGTTGGAATTAGTATTAAGTAATCAGGTTATAGCCCTGGAACAGTAACATAATATGGATGCTAGGAACTTGTCTTATTCTCTTTTCTAGAAACATCAAATCCCTACTGAAAAGATCCATTGAGTAAATATTGGAGGCTTCTCCAGTAGTAGCTCTTTTGGAAATAGATTAGTTTTGTTACTTTGTTGTTGATGGCACCCTTGAATGTGAATATTAATAAATGTTTTTTTCAATCATAGCTTTTATTTTTATATACTGTCTTACACTGGAATTACTTCAACATGTAGTTGAATAGGTGAAGTATTAGCTATTTCTTCATGTTATTTCATTTTTTCCTCATAATATATAAATAGAAAAGAACTCGGCAAGAATAATACTTTTTTATTCATTGTTGAAAATGCTGTATGGCACATAGAAACTGTGTTGAAAAACTAGCTTAAGAACTGAAATTGTTCAGTATTATAAGCATCCCTCAGCAAGCAAGAAAAGAGGAAAAAATATAAATAAAAATATAAAAGAGTTCCCTCCCATTCAAATTCTGTATTAGTCTTATATTTATAAACTGATGGTAAAATAATCACCTAGTAATGTGCCTCATCCAGTAAAGCCTTTCAGTAGATAATAGAAATGATATGGAATGATTCCTGAGATAATTATGCATCTCCAATTGCCAACTTTGCTTACCATGCATGAGAAAGAAATGCTGTGGTTTTTCCTCATTTGATTTGTGATCGTTTCTAACTATTGGTGATCATTATAAGTCACTAAACCAGGACTACACTTGAGATGTAATGCATCCCAGCTTTTTTCTTTGCTTAAGGGATCAGAAACGGACTATGGCACTGTTTCTCAATCTTAGCAACTTTAAGATGTGTGGGCTTCAACTCCCAGAAATCCCCAGCCTGGTTGAGGAATTCTGGGAGTTGAAGTCTACACATCTTAAAAGTTGGTAAGATTGAGAGACACTACACTATGGAATCACATAATTTTATTTCTCATCCTCTCCTGTTTTATATATAATTTAGTTTTGTTTATTCTGGTAAACTTGTATTGAGCATTTAATGTATAAGTTTGTAGACCAGGCTTACAACTCTGAACACATATGTCCTGTTCTTCATAACTATTTTGACCAAATGACCATATCTCAATATCCTTGGCTAATCATGAAAAATTTAACAAGGATAGGAAATCATCAGGAAATCCCAAGGCTATAGATTAAACTGAGAAGTTGAAAAGGACAGGGAAATATTTCAGTTTTGTTTCTAAGAATACTTCTATGAAATCATCCCAAATCAAGCACAACTTAAAGCAAAGTGTTAGGATGATAGGATTACGTTGTAAATATTAAAATCCATATTAGATTTTTTTTGCGGTAGGTGTAACATTTTACATGCATATAGAATACCAACTTTTTTCACTATCATACTTGAATTCTGGTATGATCCAGGGTGCATTCGGGAGATGAATTAATGATGTTGGTGACACAGCAGTGAGTGTATTACATGTTAAGATGCACAAAACAATGAATCCCTTTGTTATGTTTTTGTTGTCCTTTTAATGTCTAAGAATCTAGAGATTGCTGAACAAAAAAATTACTAAATAAGATGGGTTTAAAAAAACAAAACATTTAGTTAAACATGCAACAAAGCCAAATAATGATATTAAGATTGTTAAAATGGTATTTTATAGATCAATCAGTAGTAACAAATTTAATCCTTTATTCTGCTGCTGAAAGCATGCATTTTGAAGTCTTTCACAATGCATGATGATTAGAAAAAATTAGAGACATTGAATATGTTACTATTTAAGTGTTTTGCTGTATGCTGAACGAGTGTACTGGATTTTTCTTGGGTTATTGAAACAGGAACATTTTTAATCAAGTAAACATTATTTTATTGGCATGAATGTAACCGTGTCTTTCTAATAAGGACAATAGGAGGCTTGTAAGGTAACTGTGACAATGCACCAATGCTGTAAACTGTATGCTAATGTAAACATGTGTATTTCCTGACTTCAAGTAAATGTTAACTGTTAATATATTTTTTATTTTAGTGGCTTAATATTACAAACTATTGTAATAAAAATGAGTGTATGGAATTAAGTTATAAAGACTGCAGTGCAGTCTGTTGTGGTGATAAGTACCACCAGCATTGTTCCAAACACCCTTCTACTAGTTTGCTGCTTCCAGATGTGTTTGGGGCTACAGCTCCCAGAATTCCCGAGCAGCCAAGATGAAGAATTCTGGAATTTACAATCGTAAGAGATATGGGAAGCGCTTGATTGGTAAAGGCTAATTATGAGGCTATATTGGCTGTTAGGGCTCTGCATGCTTTAGTGATTCCAAGTTCCCTTTTGTGAACATAACACCTCTGTTTATTAAAGTATCTTGACATTTTTAGGGATTCTGGCAAGCCTAAAAAAAAAAAGATTGCCACTAAAAGAAATCTGCTTATTAAAAATTAGTGAAATTTGTAAAGCAGTTTTATTCAGGCTCCCATAGAAACTGGATAAAGATCAGGCAGTTTAAGAAAGAATAGAGAGGTGCTCTACTCATACAGCACTTTTGAAGTGCAGTTACCCCTCTTGGCTTTCATTGGATTAACATTATACAAAATTATTTCCACTGACATTACTTAGACTGGTTCCAGGGAATCCCCAAACTCTGGAGTGCCCATGGAGTTACCAGTTGTGGAAGAATATGTTCTACCAATGGTATCTCTTCAGCTGGCAGATGGAGTTGGATATCATCTGTTGCAGAGATGCGATGGCACTTCCTAAAGCCACAATGTACTATGGAGACAAAAGCCACCTGATTTTTATACTTGCTTGAAGTTCTTTTACTACTCAATCGCATAAGTCTTTACTTTTTTCTAATGATTCAATAGGAAACTGTCTTGGCACAACTTATTATCTATGAGAGTACAATTCAGATCCATCAGATTAGCAAACATGGCCATGATAACCAATATTCTCTATGCATTGTAGAAAAAGGTAAGTTAGTAGAGATTACTAACTGCACAGCTGATTCTCAGTGGAAATTTCTTCCATATAAGTTTGCCCAAAAGCACGGGTGTCAAACTCACTGTGTCACGTGACGTATTGTGACTTTTTTTTTTTGCATTGCCGGAGCTGGGGTGGGCGTGGCCTCTGTATGATGCAACCGGCTCACGGCAGTTTGACACCCCTGCCCAAGAATATTTAAATAAAAACTCTTAATCCTTGAATAAGTTTGAGAATATTTTCCACTTGATTGGACAACTCAGATGCAGCTTGTAACAGCCTTATGACAAGTAAGGTACGGACTAAACAAATGAAACTTGAATATTGCATGTGTTAAATTGTGAAGCTGTTTCATTGTCCTTTGAGAAAGAATTAGCAAATCTTGCACCATTTATTTGCTTACCAAAAATAAAGTTCACTTCTTTCTTACTTTGCATCAAGTTGTTTTGTACACACAAGAGTCTTATGCTCATTTGTAAATTTGCCTTTAGAGGGGAAGGTGAACAGCAAGAGTTCACATTTCTATTTGTCCCATGCAAATATTTCTTTTCAATCGGAGAAACTCTTGTTTCTTTAAACTATTAAATGTTTGTTACCCGTTTTTGTTTGGCCTTCTTGTATTTTTCTCTACTCCTTTTCTTCTGATGTAGATATTTTTCACAGACTGGTTACTAGTGCGTATCCAAGAATAAAGCATAGGCAGAACAATTATAAAGATGGGATTTTCCATTAGTCGTATCAGCACACATATAAGTACTCCTCCCTAATTGGGACTTCCATCTAAATAAGAAATCATAGACAGTGCTTTCCATTGGAAAGAGGCAAGACTACTTAGTTTCACACCTTCAGCTTTTAATTCCTAATCACTCCCCCTCCTCCCTTTGGAATGCTCCAATACCTGCTTATTTCTTGTACACATCAAAAGCAAATGCAATTATGCTGCAGTCTACCATAGGCATCTAGCTGACAATATCTTGAAATTTCTTTGTCTCCACTCTCTGTCCTCTGATAGGGGAGCAGTTCAAGGAAAGAGAAATTGCCTACCAAAATCACTTTTTTTTTTCTTCCCATCTCCCATGCATAATAGATTGGAGAGGAAGAGATTTCAAGAGAGTACTATAAGCTGACTATAAGCTGATCGTGTAACACATTCACAGCTGCCAGCTCTCAGGCCACCAGTGCAATTACATTGCTTTCAACAGGGCTTTTTTTGTCATAGAATACACAGAACGGAGTTCCGGCACTTTTGGGATGGAACCTTGTAGGGTAGGCAAGGCGGGTTGTATAATGTGTGCGAGTTCTGGCACTTTTTTTTTTTTTACAAAAAAGCACTGGCTTTCAATGCCTATAAGAGCAAACAAATTATGTTTTTGCAATCCCTTTCTCTACAACTAATCTGTTCTGTACTGTACTGTACTGGTGATCACTTAGTCTTTCTATTAAGCAGGGTGATACTATTTGAGCTATAAGTCAAGAGCTACCTGACATCGAAGACAACTAGCATCCCATGCAGAAAAACAAGGCTGAAGCAGCCATTGGTTTCTGGCTGGTGAATGAGGGGTGGCAATGGCAAACCTCTCAAGCGACTTTTAGGACCACACTCTTGAGAATCACTCACTTAAAGAAAGTTTGACAAACAAGAATAACCTTCGGTTAGCCATATTTTTTTATTGATTTTACAGTACAATCAATTGAGATACAATTTAAAATGAATATTTCTTATTCAGGAAAACATAATTCCAAGTTATGAATTTATGAAATGCTCACTAGTTTCTACTGTGACCATGAACAAAAATTCTTATTACAAAAATTTGGCAGCAAGCAGGGAAACCATACTTCTATACCAAAGGAATGAAGACAGACAGGAAATGGAAATGATCCTGCTTCGTGCAAATATTTACTTAAACAGCAATTTTCCACAACAAGAACATTCCGTGAATAGGTCTGGAGTGGAACATTCAGGCTAATAATCAAAGATTCATAAATAAGGTCCACAGAGCAGCACAGCTTTTAGAATTCAGTCACAATTTTATGTCACAGCTATTCAAAGAGAAGATCCTCGTCTTTTTCTTCTGCAAGCAAATTTGCAGGTTCTTGCTCTCCAGCAGCTTTCCGTAATTCTTGCAACTTCTCATTCTTCTCTTTCAGTACCTTTTTCTTTTCTTGGATCTTCTTTAATCTGGGAGGCATACGAGATCTATTTTAGTGATTGTTATTCCTCCTTTTAGAACGAAACTG